AGTGTTGTGTCACCATATTGACAAAGTATTTTACCGAAACAAATTTAGCTTGTCCATCGTATTTGTGTATATAAATTTCGTTGGTGCATGGTGCATTGGATCAACAAATATGTGGGTATTTCTTTTGACACAGTTATTGTGCTTATCGTTGTTACTTGGTAGTATTGTTTCACCATGTTGACATAGTATTTTATCAAAACAAGTTTAGGTTTGTATGCACCTGCAATGTAATAGATCCACATAGAATGCAAATTCCATGGAACATTATTTGCAGAGCAATTTTCAACATCTTTGACTTGAAGACCTCATGATCATAACATTATTAGCTAATACAGCTTATGTTTTCTTTATTTTTCCTCTTTCTTGGCTTCCATGTAAACTAATGTTGACCATCTTTAAATGCTACCAACCTCCTTTCCTATGCAATGGGAACTGGATTTATAGAAACTTGTGCTAATACAAATAAACTTCCTCTTAACAGCGGCTATCCAATCCTTGAAGAGGAAAAAACTTTATGAGCAACAAATTGAGCAGCTCGGAAATTTTCAGTTGAGAATCCATGATCAGGTATATTTGCACTCAAACATTGAGGTTTTTGTTTACTGTACGCTGTGTGTTAACTATATAAACCCATTTTGTATGCAGATGATCATGTTAGAAGCAGCTAAAGCTACAACAGAGACTGTTGATGCGTTGAGAACTGGAGCTGCAGCTATGAAAGCAATGCAAAAAGCAACGTTAGTATTAATATTGAGCCCATTTTAGGATTTATGCACCTAGTCGTTCAAGGTCTCAAAATGATTATTTACCATGTCCCTGCAGAAACATTGATGATGTCGACAAGACCATGGATGAAATTAACGAACAGACTGAAAATATGAAACAAATTCAAGATGCTTTGTCAGCTCCTCTTGGAGCTTATGCTGATTTCGACGAGGTAATTCACTGTGGGCATTTAAGATTTGCAACCTTGCAGTGCATAGTTTTCTCTGACACACTTCGCACCCGTTGCACTGAAAAAACTTACAGGATGAACTGGAAGCGGAACTTGAAGAACTGGAGGGAGCAGAGTTGGAATCTCAGCTCCTGGAGCCTGTTGCAGCTCCTCCAGTGCATCCAGTGCATGTCCCAGCCAACAAGCAACCAGCTCGCCCTGCTCCACAGAAAGCTACAGCTGAAGATGATGAGCTTGCTGCACTGCAAGCTGAAATGGCGTTGTGATCAGGTTAATGTTTGATCCATTTGTACATCTTAATGTGTATTTGATGTTCCTTTCATGGGACTAATTCACTGGTATCTGTTAGCTAAATCTGATAATGCTGTGTCCAACCAGTTGTACGGTTGTCAGCAGTACATATATTTGTTAATGATCCAATGTAGAAGTGTGCATATATTATACTACCTCCATTCCAAATTATTGGACGTTTTGTTTTTTCTAGATACATAGCTTTTGCTATGCACTTAGATATACACTGTATAAATACATAGCAAAAGCAATGTATGTATCTAGAAAAGCCAAAACTTCTTATAATTTGGAATAGAGAGGGTAGGTTTTGAATTATTCTACACTAGCTTTTAAATTATTCTACACTGTTTTATTCCTTCATTTTTTTTATTTTCAACTGTTTAGGCTCAGTTTTAACTCCTAAGATATCCTAATGCGTTAGGACGATAGAAGTTTTCTGTCACTGGAACACTGCATGATGAAATAATGTACTCCCTCTGTTTGAAATTACAAGCTTATTTCATTTACAAGCCTTTGACTAGTGATTACTCCATTAAAAAATATTTTTTGACACAGTTGATGTCATTAGATTCATGTATTAAAAAATACTTGCTTATGATTATAATTTTTTATCTCATAAATAAAATATTAATATATTAATTTCTCTTCAAATTCTTGTCCTAACAAAACAAAGTGTACCATGCATAAAAATAGAGACAGGTAGTAATTTACATCTGCAGTAGATACTTGCCTGAGAAAGAAGTTCAGCAGATCAAATGTGCTAATTTGAGTGCTGCTTACAGTTATTCAAGCATCCCCTTTCTTTTTAGATGGTTTGCTGGAAGCATGCAATCATCATGACAGTTTTCTGTCTAGATAGACTTTTCAGATTTTGAAAGGGGCATATGCTTCAAGGTGAAGGTGTATCCAATTATTCATCCAGTTGATGTCCAATATTAGCACCTGAGAATTGAAATGCCAATTTTGTCTGACCTATTGTTTGTCTTAATTGGCTGAACTGTGGCTGTACTTATTGCAGCCACATTATAGTTTACCTTCATTTTCTTTTGGCTACTTGCTACAATCAAAGAGAACTGTAATTTTTTAAATCAAATATTTGCAGAATTTGCTTGGAATTTACACTTAATTAGTTCAAGTTTATGGTGTTTGGACTATATATGTTTCTGGAATAATCTCCAAGGATATGGTTTCTATGGAAATACTATTATTTGAGTCCTGCATTTTTTTTGGTTTGCGTGTTTAAAAGTTATTGCTGCTATTGGTCATTGTTATTAACCCTACTGAAACTTGCAGGTTTCCAATGAAGAGGTGAAATGTGTATATGAATGGCGTTATGCTACAAAGATGAAAGCTGAGTCAGGCTTTATTATATTTGCCATGTGTGTATAATCTTGGTGGATATTTGGCAACCGAAGCAGAAAAAAGGCTGCTCCAGCCAGTGTTTGTTTCGGTGATTTTGGGCTCTGTTTTCCACAGACAATTTAGTTAATGGCGCCCGGTTAGCTCTATGCTAACTATTCAGGTCACCAACGTGCATTGTTTGTCACAGTATTGTTCATTTAACCATATTGTCTGGAGCCATGTAAGAGTGTTGGAACGTATAAAGCCTCAGGGTTCACATTTGATGTGCCGGTTCGCAACAATTTCAACATATGTTTCCTTGTTGCACCCGAATTACCAGTACTGTTTTTGCTACTGAGTAGTAGTGTGTTTCGCTGGAAAATGACGGTCGAACATGTAGGCAGTAACGCCATTTGAAATTTAAATGGACTACTAGTTGGTAGTATGAGTGATTTCACTGACCATTTTGGGAGCATCTGAAAACACTGATTTTTAAAGGTCTCACAACTAAAGTACAAGTTGGTTCAAAATTTTGTGAAACAGTACTTCCTCCGTCCCATCTCTATCTCGTACTTCAAGAGTCAAATAATCTCAACTTTAACTAAATATATTAAAAATACAAATATTTGTAATATTTAGATAAACATTATTAGATAAGTTACATCATATATTTGCATAGTAAAATCTACTTGGAGATACAAATTTTGATACTAATTTTTGCAAACCTATGCTCTGTTCGTTTGGTTGATAAGCCATGGCTGAAAATACTGTTGGCTGATTTGTTGTGAGAGAAAAATACTGTTCATTGGTTGAAAAAGTACGGCTTATAAGCTAAGCGAACATGACGTCTAGTTAAAGTTGAGATTGATTTGACTCCTCAAAATATGAGATGAAGACTTATTTTAGGACGGAAAGAGTAAGTGTTCCACGTCCCTATAAAGTGAACAATGTTCGTGTGCTATTGTACTCATGTTTCTCTCTCTTTCTTTGTCTTCCGATTTGTAGATTGTTTCATTTTTGCGAGCATTGTTATCAAGTTGTCCTATTAATCACAATTAGTTGATCTCTTGCTCGACTATCCTTTTAATCAATATTTTAAAATAACTCTCCTAGCTTTTTTTTTTTTTTTAAAAACTAACCTTGTTGCCCTCACCAATATGGCTAGCGTGGTAAAAGCAACTGCTGTGCCACCATTCAAAAAAAAAAAAAAACTGCTGTGCCACCGAACTACATGTGGCATGTCAGGATGTCACCACAGCACAGTTGGTTAACATTGTAGCAAAGCGGATTTCACCCTGTCTCACAAGCCAGTTAAGGGTGCTGGACCTCCTTTATGAAACCGTCCACCAAAAGCTTAGCAAGCTCCTCCATAGTCATACGCCTCTCCTTGTCGAGGGAGTGACGACCTCCCCCACCCCCACCCCCACCCTAGCTGATTTGCTCTCTAGTTGTGTTTGTGTGGTGTAGGGGTTACAACCAAGGAGGGGTCACAATCGTTAGTCACTTAAATACTTCACAAACATCATTAGTTATTTATTTGTATTGTCATTAATTCATCAAAACCCACAATAGGATTAGACGCGCTTTCTAAAACTCAAATCCATCCTTTGAGCACTCTATTTCTTTGTCAAGCTGGCAGTTTTGCGTTTGTCCCTTCAATCGCTCCGAGAGGTCTCTGTCGTGTTTTTCTGGTGGAAATCAGATTACCGCAAAAGTTAAGAGGATCAAAATGACTTGTTTCACCCAAAAACAGAGGCCGCCTCAAAAAGTAAGGCTTTGATTTTGGGCTCGCTAACGTTGCACTAGCATGTACTAAAATACACTATCGATTCTCAAACTGACTCAAGGTGCCATCCAGGTTCTCAAATTTCCAAAATGTATATCCAGATACCTAAAGGCCTAAACTCACTAATATACAAATAATGCTAACTTAAGTTAATCTGTTGACAAACTTGCACGTTGGCATTGCATCAACATGTGAGGCAAACAGCCACTCTATCTCCTATATCCCTAACATCATGTAGGCTCCACATCCCAATGCCATATTATCACATAATCATTGCAATCAGATTAACTCAAGTCACGGTAACTAGAATCTCACATGACATAGTTAAGTTTGGGGCCAGGTTGTACATTTTGGAGGTTAGCATCCAGTGAAAATTTGAGAACCAGGTGCATTTTTACTCTAGAAACCTGCAATATGCACCTTGACATAGCAACACGGTATATACCGCATTACTGTCATCTGCAGCAACCAACCGAAGGTAAATCGTTAGTACCAGCACTGCTCCGACAAACACTTCTGGTGATACTGAACTTCACAAGTCAGACTCCCACCAAGTCAGTGACAGCATCAAGCATTAACTAACAGTGCAATTCACATGGTAATTACATCCTGATGCAGGATACAGTACTAGACATCAGGGTCGTGCAGGACGACGCTCAGCCCTTCTATTCCTTCCTTTCCGGCTGCCTGCAGCTTGGAAATAGCCTCCTGGCGAGGAGGGTGGTCGAACTTGCAGTGCACACCGAACCTGCACGTGCCAGACCTCATGTAGAAGGCACAGGCCTCGGCGTCCTGTGTAAGCATCAGCACTGTGTTAATAAGCATGTAATTAAATTAACATTTGTAAACATAAACAGAAGTAAAAGGTCACAGAGATCTAGCTGAAAACAAGTACAAAAGCATTCTTTCTAATGACAATGAATAACGAGATAATTTCAATTGACGCTGTAACGTTAAGGGAATTCTGTCACAGGAACATACACGTCATGCTCTTGTATATTTTTAAACCAGACACAGCATCAGTTTACAAGTTGAAATGCCAGCTTACTAGCAGATTGCTGGTTTGACATGCAAATTATTTTTGTCAACAAATTTAATGGGAAAAAAAACAGTTTGCTGTAGTCCAGTTTGGCAGAAAACATCTTATGCCAGCCAAGTACAGGCATGGTTCGAAAAAAACTAATTAAACCTACGTTTACTCTTGATTAAACCTGATTAAACCTGAAACGGACCCCTAGCATCTCGTTTAGGGCCTAGGCGTCCAATAAAACTCTGGACATGTCTAGGTAGTCCACGTAGGCATGAGGCAGTGCCTAAGCAGCGTAGAAACACAGAAAAGCTGGCTTGATGGGCTGTGTGTGGCCGTGCGGGCTGGAGAGCAGGAAAAAAGCACGCAGAAGAGCCAGGGAAAAGGGAAACAGGATGTGTGGGGATCAAAATTACAAGTCTTTTCACCACTTCTTTGCAAGTTTGCAAGAATTGGAATTTAAATTGCCTTAATGTGTCACAGTTCCTTCTGTGATTGAAGTTGGGCATCTAAACTGAGCCATATGTGTTGCCAGGAAAAAATATTTTTTTTGAAAATAGAAAGCACAAACGCTTAATCGTGTTTAATCTACGTTTAATCCATCTAGGCGCTAGGAAGTGGCCTAGTGCCTAGTGTCTTTTGGAACCTTATGAGGCCAACAAAACAAAATGGCCAGATTAATTTTCCCAGGTGATGCAGTGGAAGATGTGGCATTCAATTCCCGCCGATGCTTGGCATGACATTATTTTCTCTGATTTTTATTCAAAAAGATCCAGTGTGCAAACTGAGCATAATCAAGCTCAGGTCTTCATTCTTGGTTTAAAAACAGTGTTATCCCACAAGAATGATCAGAAAGTCATTAAAGTATCACAGACATGATATAACAGGATATTAGTTAGCACATAACATTTTACAATATGAAGCATCTAAGCTACTAGTAATAGTCTAGCATGTTTTTTTTTTAATACGGTAGCATGTTACCTCTCTCCTTGGAAGGCCAAGTGTCACAGGCTGCTGAGGATCCCCGTTTTCTTTGGAATGAGGTGCAGACCGGTCAATAGGGTGGTGAAACTTGCATTTCTGAGAATACTTGCAAGATCCTGTCTTCATGTAAAACTGCAGTACACAAAAATGAGAAAAAGGGCCAAGAGCTCTAAAATAAGCACAATAAATCGAGCACATAAAAAAAATGAATTGGACATCTAAGGAGACGGCTATATTACATACATCACAAACAATTTCTCCAGGCCTTTGAGGATAGATCATTGGCACAGGCTCAACCTGTGTTTTACAAAAGAAAGCGTGTAAATGTTATGTACATCACAAACACATTTGCCATTTTTAGACGCTTAGTCTCTACACATACCGGCACGTGAGTTGCATGAAAATCAAAGCTTTGTAGAAAATTTGCAGCCGGATTTAGCACCACTGCAGGGACAATGGGTGCTGGAGAAGGAAGGGTACCTTGAACCAGTGGAGCCATAAAAGCTATATCAACAACTGCACACACAAAACAATATCATCAGAGGGGGGGTCTAAAAAGATTCCAGATAGATTTTTTTTCTCGAACACGTAGGAGAGCTGCGTACCTTTGTATGAAGAAGAAAAGGGGGCAAGAGCCCTTACAACACATACCCACACTCCTAAGCTCTTAGACAAACATACGCGCCTTTTACTAAAACAAAAAACGACCTCACCTCCACAAAAGGAACCTACTGGCTATCTACAGGCTCAAGAGAAGGGAAGGAGCTTCCCTGAGCCTTTGCAAGATTCCAGTAACGCTGTTCCTCACTTGCGAGCAGCAATGCTAGATTCCAGATATGTAAAAAGTTGGGGTTTAAGCTTTTCTACCTCTGTTTTCAAGCGAAATGGTGATTTTGCCCTCGTTTTTTTTTAACTTGATTTTACCCCTATTTCAAAACGAAGGGAGACTTTACCCTTGTTCTGTTAAGTCCACCTAACGGTGTTAATTTTTGAAAAAAGGACAACTTTGCCCATGCGTTTTTACCCCTGTTTTATTTTGATATTTGTGTTTTTACCCCTATTTTCATATCAGCAATTTGGCAATTTTGATACAAAATTATACAATTCAATCAGTGCAAAACTCAACCATTTTTAGGAAAAATTCGACAACATTTCAGAGAACTGGACCTAGCACTTAGAAACACAAACATTGGGGTGGCGTTTGGTTAGCCACGGGGATTGGGTTTGGGTTAGGCGCCGTTCGGCTAGGGAAATCCTGGCCCGGAATCATTCCTGCTAACAAAATTTTATATAAAATTGAATAGCAATCCTGGACCAGAATTGTTCCTGGGAGTTTTTTTTCCTAAACGAACGGGGCCTTATGAGGATACGTGGGTTAGGGATGACGATACAAGATTTGATCCATTTGCCACGTTTGGCCTCTTTTGGTCTGGGGTTGAGTTATGTGGTGGGACCCACAAAAAAAAACATTTTTCTTCTCTTGCTCATGAGTTCGCTGCGCTCAGTTCCAGCTTAGCAGCAGCTCCCAGCCGACGTGGCTCACCTCACGAGGGCCACGCATGAGAGGCGGGCGGCGCATCCGCAGCTGCGGCAACCGGCGCGTGCGATGCTTCCGTGCTTCCTGACGGGTCGGCGCATGCGACTATGCGAGGCTCCACGAGACGACGACCGCCGGGGCTGCCTGCGTGCCTCCCGCGCCGGCCCGCCGGGGGCCGCAGCGAGCCTCCCGTGCGCGTCCACGGGGCCGCCTGCGAGCCTCCCGCGCGCGACGCCGGGGCCGAGGCGAGCCTCCCGCCCATGACCGCCGGGGGATGCCTACGAGCCTCCCGCGCGCGACACCGGGGCCGCGGTGAGCGACACCGATGCCCGATGGGGTCGCGAGGTGGCGGGGGTGGGGGGTGGCGAGGTCGTTGGCGGGGTGTTGCCGAGGTCGCCGGAAGCACCCGCCGGGGCTGCTGAGGGTTATTGTTGTCTTTTCGGGTGGGTCTCTTTTTATTTTTCTTTTTTTTTGGTATTTAATCTACTCAGATGAAACGGTGTGAGAAAGTAAGGGTAAACGGCAGCTTCAGTCTAAAATTACGAGGGCAAAAACACGAAGTTAAAAAAGTGAGGGTAAAATCACCATTGAGGTCTGGAGTAAGGGTAGAAACACCAAATTCCCCTAAAAAGTTTAATAAAAAATTGGAGGGTCATAATGGTAAGCACTAATGATATCGTTAGAACGAAGTTAATAGGTACTAGTCTGAAAATGTTGTTTCAAAAAAAACATTGAAAATGGAATGAAACATTTTGTGATTGCTGTCTGAAAATTTGTAGTATAAGGTCAAGATATTTTAGCATGGCATTCAAAAACAGACACATGATAATAGTCACAAGTGCCAGAAACTATCAATATCCTCAAAACCTAAGCTAATGAGTAAAAGATACTTCAGGAAAAATTCAAAGTGCTTATCATAACTTCACTATGCCAATCAGGTGTTTCAATTCCTAACAAAAACGTAATATTAGAAGCTCTGGTGCATTTTCTATACTATTAAGACTTTTAAGAACCTTTAATGTTTACAAGGTCACTACGAAGGATCTTTACCAACATTTGAGTACGAAGGAAGGAGAGAAGGACATTTATAGGATGGCTAGTGTTCGTGAGAGAAAGACACGGGACTTCAACCAAGTTAAGTGCATTAAGGATGAAAGGGAGCATCTCTTGGTGAAGGAGGATGAGATCCGACATCGATGGCAAGAGTATTTTGACAAATTGTTCAATGGTGAGAATATGGACACAACCTTTCAGTTGGATGACTCTTTTGATGACACCAATAGGCGCTTTGTGCGGAGAATCCAAGAATCTGAGGTCAGAGAGGCGTTGAAAAGGATGAAAGGAGGTAAGGCGATGGGACCGGATGGTATCCCAATCGAGGTGTGGAGATGCCTCGGGGATATAGTATGGCTAACCAAGCTGTTCAACTATATTTTTCGATCGAACAAGATGCCTGATGAGTGGAGGAGAAGTATATTGGTACCGATCTACAAGAATAAAGGGGATATTCAAAGTTGTACTAATTACCGGGGAATTAAGTTGATGAGCCATACTATGAAGCTATAGGAGAGAGTTATCGAGCATCGCTTGAGAGCAATAACGCGGGTCTCTATGAACCAATTTGGTTTCATGCCCGAAAGGTCAACCATGGAAGCCATTTTCTTAATAAGACAAGTTATGGAGCGGTATAGGGAGAAGAAGAAGGACCTACACATGGTTTTTATTGACTTGGAGAAGGCTTATGATAAAATACCAAGGAATGTTATGTGGTGGGCTTTGGACAAACATAAAGTCCCAACGAAGTACGTCGGGCTCATTAAGGACATGTACAATAATGTTGTGACTAGAGTTCGAACAAGTGATGGAGACACGGATGACATCCCGATTAGAATAGGACTACATCAAGGGTCAGCTTTGAGCCCTTATTTGTTTGCTTTAGTGATGGATGAGGTCACTAGGGACATAAAGGGGACATCCCTTGGTGTATGCTTTTCAGACGATGTAGTGCTAGTTGATGAAAGTTTAGCAGGAAATCGAAAACTGAGTTATGGCGGGAGACTTTGGAGTCCAAAGGTTTTAGACTCGAGAGAACTAAAAGCGAGTATATGAGATGTGACTTCGCACTACTACTCGGGAGGAGGAAGATGTTAGTTTGGAAGGTCAAGTAGTGCCTAGGAAGGATACCTTTTCGATATTTAGGATCAATGCTACGAGGGGACGGGGATATTGATGAAGATGTTAGCCATAGAATCAAAGCGATGGATGAAGTGATTTGCAAGCGTCCCGGTGCCCTATGTGACAAAAGGGTACCACGAAAACTAAAAGGCAAGTTTTATAGGACGGCGATTAGACTTATGTTGTATGGTGCGAGAATGTTGGCCAACGAAAAGACGACATGTTCAATGACTAAGTGTCGAAATGCGTATGTTGTGTTGGATTTGCGGTCATACAAGAAGGGATCGAGTTCGGAACGATGATATACGTGATAGATTAGGGGTAGCGCCAATTGAAGAAAAGCTTGTCCAACACCGGTTGAGATGGTTTGGACATGTGCAACGGAGACCTCCAGAGGCACCGGTGCGTAGTGGAATCCTAAGCCAGGATAGTAACGTGAAGAGAGGCAGAGGAAGACCGAAGTTGACTTGGGTAGAGGCAATAAAAGGAGACTTGAAAGGATGGAATATACCCAAAGACTTAGCCTTAGATAGGAGTGCTTGGAAGACAGCTATTCATGATGGGTTTCAACTCTAGTCTACCCCAACTTGTTTGGGACTTAAAGGCTTTTGTTGTTGTTGTTGTTGTTGTTGTTGTTGTTGTAAAGGTCACTACAAGCTCTGCTTTCAGCATGATTTGCAAATGGCAAGTCTTCAACAGGGCATATATTGCAAGCTAAAGTGCGATTTGATTAAGAGTGAGCTTCCTGCTGATGGTTTCTCTATCCTTCTGGATGTAACACAAATGGAAACAGAACAAAATAACCTATAGGATGCCATGACAATTTAACTCAACCAAATTATTAGTTATGAAAAGAACAGACCTGGCCGATCAGGATGGTTGAAGCGACAAATAGAACCATATTTGCAGCTGTAAAAGCGCAAAAGGAAAAATATCAGATCCCTCCAAACTTATATGCATGAGGTAAATTCAACTTAGCAATCCTGCTCTTGAAGAAGGTACCTGCCTGTCTTCATATAAAACGAGCAATCCACTTCACCCTGCAATATGGGAGAAAATGTGGTGAGCAATACATGGGTACAGTCAATGCTATAGTACTAAACTAAAGCGATATGTGAAGATACAGTAGCAGACATACTTTGGTAGATAGATTTTACTAAGAAATAGGAGTTGTCGAGAGAGAACAATCTTTACTCATAAAAATCTTTTATACACCAAGTCTGGATTACTGACAGAATTTGCAGTAAGCATAGAACAGACTTTAACTTTACCTTTTTGCATCTATTTTACAACATATTTATTGATATATGGTTCCAAATAAAAGACGTGAATAAAACTGAAATTTACTGTATCTAGTGCTCTAGCAAATAAAAGAAAGATAACTAAATTTTACTGCTCTAGCTAAAGAACCATTTGGTAAATACATACTGGTCTTATAGGAAGCCCTTTTGCATTATGCGCCTCGGCTGGGGCAGTTGGTGCATGTGTCTTTGCTGGAACTGAATCATCTGCTGCACCAATGTGCGCTGCTGCATCAGTTGTTGCTGTATATATGGTTTCCTTTGCAATCAAAGGTGCTGTCTTAATATCTTTTGGTTTTGGATGATCGAACTTGCAAATGGCACCAAATTTGCATTTGCCTGTTTTTACATAGAACTGAAATATAGGACGTTCAAGAAATGAAGGACTGTGCCATGAGAAAAATAATAATAATTAGCATCAATGGAAGATCTTACCGAACAAACGGGTTCAGAAGGCCTCACTGGTAAGATAGCGCTATCAGCAATTAGTGACTGTTGCATTTCAGGAAAGCACAGCCATTGAGACTCTCAGAGTCGAAAAACTAGCAATCTAGTGAACAGATATAATTAACTTACTTCATTGTCTGTTCCTGTTGCTAATGCATTCACCATTTTCTTCGGATGGTTGAACTTGCATTTAGATTTAAACTTACATCTACTACTCAATAAATACTGCAATGTTGAGAACAATGCTATGAATATATCGGTCAGACAGATTCTAAAACTAGAATGTGATATGCTTACAGGACAATCTGGTTCCCCTGGTCGCTCAGGATAAGAATCTTCAACATTTGGGACCTGCAAAAGGAGTTTAAGAAAGCCAGAAAGAGAATCAGTAAGAGGATTACAATACAGAAGGCACAGCTACATAATATTAGAGATTTCAGAAGGCATCAAATATGAAAAGGCAAATAAAAAATAGCCAAGAAAATTTCAAAGAAGTTGATACAGAAACAAAATTCCCGTGAAAGTGTAACTTTTCTTTTAGCTAGGCATGCCCCCGCATGAAATGTTGCTTTTGTCAATGTTTATCAGCACCGCGGCTGATTAAGTATTCGTTAAACATTGTTTAATGGGAGCAACAGCAAGAGTTGTTGCAGTGAGAGTAAGGCGCAGGCACACAGCTTCGTAGAGCAGATGCAAATAGGATGGTGAGGGGGGGGGACTGAGGCATGCAAAACAGCAAGAAAGAAAGCAGGTAGGTAGGAGTTGGAGAAAAAAAAAACTAGGCAAAGAGATGTATGTACAATTGTACATATGAATATGGTAGGAGTATACAGTGTACCATGGTTCTTACAGCAGTAAGGCAACACATGGTATGGTGAGTGGTGACCCACCGGCCACCACCTCCATATCGCCTAGGCACCCAAGGCAAGGAGATGCCATACACATGCTCGCTTCTCAAGAGAACAAAAACAATATAAGAAATATAGAAGGAAGATTGAATTTTCCTAGACTATTCCAGCCTGTCACCCTTTCTAGGTAGCCCCAACTCATGCACTTACTCCGAAAAAGATATACTGACATAACCCAAGCCCTACCATCCACTCACCATAACTGAACACACCGCTAGCAGCAGCAACGCTATATCATCTGGCCAGCAGCAATCGAGCATAGTGAGAGGGAGCATCAACAAACCCCACAGGCCTATAATAATAACCCCTTCCACTGTCCCTATCCAGATCAAACGCCGCTACTGTCCCACCCAGATTGACCACTGTTGGAGCCAGCAGGGGCAGGCAGGGAAAAAAGAGGTTGCTTGGCCCTGCTGGTTCCCAATAGTCTTCCTCTCTCTCTCACACACACTGCTTTTGGAAAGGCATCGGTGATGCCCGGGTCCCATGACTGCCCTAACACCTAGCCACCTAGGTGATGACTTAAGAACCATGTTGTGTAGTGATGCAAACAGTAGGATGGTATTCATAAAGTTAACTATCTTAAACACGACCTATATTGGCCAGGGAGATAACTTAGCTGTACTGTTGAATAACACAGAGCAAAACTAGAGTTCCAATTTGCATGGAAATCATTAGGGCTTGTTTGGATGCAGCATCCACCTCAACCCACGTGTGAGTGGATTGGAGGTGTGTAAGGGTGTCAAGAAAAGCAATTCATGGGGCATCATGGACAAGAGATGTGAGAAAAAGGGCGTACCCAGTGCAGAGAGCTCCCGCTCTGTGCGGGGTCTGGGGAAGGGTGTTAGTGGCAAGCCTTACCCTCGCTTGTGCAATGCGAGGAGACCGCGATTCGAACCCGGGACCTTCTGGTCACAGGCGGTAAGACTCTACCGCTTGCACCAGGCCCGCCCTTCGGACAAGAGATGTGAGAGGAGTCAAGATATATATGCATGAGATGGGAGGGGAAATGAACATCAGGAGTAAATTAGGAAATTGTTAAGTACCAACCTGTCAATAACGAAATTAAAGAGAGCGTTGAACAGGTTACATGTACCCCTCCAAAAGCAAGAGTAAGCACATATCCACACAAACTCAAGCACAGACACACCACACATTCCGGTGAGGAATATCTGAATGTGATTTAAAACCACTATTTGCCTAAACAGTTGTTTAGCACATTTCTACATGGTGGTAAGCCATGTCCGACTGATGAGCTGTTTATCTCATTTAAATGGCCATTTAGCTCATTTAAATGGCCAATTAGCCCGGTTAATGGCAAAATGATAGGTGACTAAATAAAAGCTTGGTTTGTGTAATAAAAGACTGTTAGCAGGTTTCCATAAAGGTATGTGTAAAAAAAACACACACTACAAGTAACATTTTAAATAATAAGATGTATAGATCGCTACAAATAATAATGACAGAGAGTCACCTCTTTCCAGTTTGGAACCCCACCCTCTGGAACCCATTGTGGATGGTCAAATTTGCAGGTCTCTCCATACTTACAGGTTCCAGTGCTCATATAGAAGGCACAGTCCTTTTGCCCCGGTCGTTGTGGATATATAGGAAGGCTGCTTTCAAACCTAGGGCGTTTAGCCATAGTATTTGATGAATATAAAGCCTCACTCTGGCCAACAGTACTATGACTTCCCATAAAAGATTGGTGATAGAGAACTATAGTATATATACAAAAGAACTTTATAAGCCAGCTGTATTAGGTAACCATATACTGAAAATAATAATAATGTACTGAAATGAATGAAAGCACAGTTATCAAACATAAGAGTACTACTAGAATAAGGGAAAATCCTACTCGAATGCTGTCTAAGAACCTCTTAGTACTACTCACTTGAGAAGAACTGCAACAGTATAACTTTCAGTAGAGTGGCAAAAATCAAGTGCATTTACAGTTCGTAGCTAACCTCAAAATTGTCTTGGATTTATTAGTAGAAACACAGTGAGAGCATTTTTACATTCAAAATCAGACAGCCAAAGGTCTAAACTCCAAGTATTCTGTTTTCTGGTACAGGTACTCCCCACTAATTACCAAGGTTCTTCCGTTTCTGGTACAGGTACTCCCCACTAATTACCAAGGTTCTTCCCTGTTCAAATATCATTACTACCATTTTTTATCCTCTGGTCCTTCATTGCTAAGCGCATTCACTAAGGGGGTGTTTAGGACTCCTCCGCTCCACATTTTTCAGCTCTGCTCCACATTTTTTAGCCTAACGGTTTCAGCTCCATGCACTCTATTCGAGGAAAAAGGGTGGAGTTGTGAGAGCACAAACTCCAGTTTTTTGTGGAGCTGCTCCACGGTGGAGTTTGTGGAGCAGTCCTAAACACCCCCTAAGAACCCTCCACGAAATGGTCTAATTCTACAATCTGCATTGCATCTACCAAAATATCAAACAAGTCAACAACTGAGGATATGAGGTTATGATACATGCCTATATAACTTGAAGGCAATACCACTATCGATGCTTGATTGTGCAATTTCTGTCCTTAATTATTCTCTGTGATGTCTCAATTAAAGTTTTATGTAGACACACAATTCCACACAGCGTAATAAAATTGTTCATAAGTTTATATATATCCAAGATAGCTAGATCAGTACGAGCTCCATTAACACTAGCAACACCCAACATAAGCTCCGAGTCCCATAGCCAATTGATCTTCATCTTCATAGTACTAGTTTCAGACAAGCAAGCAGCCAAACGTCCATACACTATGGCAACCACGACCAGGAAACAAATCACTCATGCATCGGCTAAAATACGGCAGCATTGCCCGATGAACACACGGGGAAACTCCTCATACCAACCAAAACAGGGAGAGGGCCGCTCTCACCTTCCGCGGATCGTCTCGCACCGAGATGCGAGTCGAAGGCGCCGACGTCGGCAGAGAATGGATAAGGCGATGGGGTGCCGGTGTAACGGGACGCGATGAGGTCGACCTCAAAGTCCGAGTAACGCGGCGGCGGCGGCGGCGCACTGTCGCCGCCAGCGAAGGCTCCGCGGTAGTACGGGTTGAAAGGGTCCGACATCGGCGGCGGCTAGGGTTTCCGGTTTTCCGCACGCGCTGCGCTGTGGGGAGAAAACCGCCGCTTTGAGTGGGAAGGCTTTATCGGACCGGCCTACGCCCTACGCGCAGGCACGCAGACGCACTCGGCACTCACACGAAAACTGTTCCTCTCTTCTCTCTCTCTCTCTCTCTCTCTGGCTATCACACGCACGCGTCTTCGCGTAGCCCTCATTCGAAGTCGACGGCACACGTCTTGAAACCCCATCCCTTTCCCAAAAAAAAAAGAAAAGAAAAGAAATTCCATCCCTTGCCTAGCTCCGATCTCCCGAGATCTCATACGAGATGGCCGGCAAGATGAAGGAGTTAGACGGCGCCAGCCCTGCGTGAGTACTTTCCCCTCCCGTAGTATGGCCATTGAGTTGTTTTCCAAACCATGGGAACGGTTTTCGCTGATTCTTATTGCTATGCTTTTGGGCTTCGTGCAGTAAGATCTTCATCGGCGGGCTCTCCAAGGACACAAGCATGAGTACGTGCGGATCCCCTCCAGATTTGCCTTTTAGCGGATTTCAATTTTTTCTGCCGTCTTCTCCTTGTATTAGCTAGGTTTCCTCGTATTCCCTCAGATCTGGTCTCTCGTTGCTTGTAATGGCTGTTCATCATCTTTTGTGCACGCTAGTTTACTCGATCCAGTGTTGATTAGTTAGTTCTTAGTTAATTTCGTGTTTCAGTGTATGCTTAGCACGTGACTACCCTTACTAAGGAAGCATGTCTAACTTGATTTGGGAGCACTGAGTTATGCCTTTTTCTGTTTTGTTAGTCGGGAGAGGAGTTAGACCTTGATTTCTTGTTTGTCGATGATTTGTTAACTTGGTAATTATTTATTTTGCTAATTTCCGTACAGTCTCACGTTGTTGAGTTCGAATTATAGGTGGAGTTGATCCTTTCATTAAATTTGTGAGGTACAATAATACATTATATTATTATATGTCCATGTTCTTGGGAAATGGCCTGATGCCTGACAATCTATGGTGGTTTTATCCCCATTGCTTAGTATTTTGTGGCAACTTGTCATATTTTAAATTATGGCTAAACACAATCGCTTTACATTAATGATATCTACAAGAGAAGTTTTCAAAGCAAAATACTGTAACATTCAGGGACAAAACGTATACTTCAAATGTTTCTTCCTGCTTATTATGATGGATTTTTAGGATATATACCTTTGTTTATGTTTTGAGCTGGTTAATTGGGCCTGTGGCATGATTGTTTAGTAAACTAGCTAACTAGTTTGGAGCTGTACTGATTTTGTGACATTTATTTTCTGTAACTTCAAGTAAAAGGTCATAATAATTTTCATGGAAGATATTTAGATTGCCCTTACCTGCAAGGTTTATTCTGGGACCTTCAAACCAACTGCTTTTCGTCGTGACTTTTCAGGTACATTCAAAGGACATTTCGGGAAGTATGGGGATATAATTGATGCTGTCATAATGAAGGACCGCTACACTCAAAAGCCCAGAGGCTTTGGCTTTATTACCTTTGCTGATCCCGCTGTTGTTGACAGAGTGATTGAGGATGAGCATGTTATCAATGGAAAGCTGGTAAACTTTTCGGTTTTGTCTTTGGTTTATATCTTTGTCTCACTCTGTATTAGCTCACAGTACATCATGTTTCATGAAAACATATAGTAAAAAAGATATAGTAAACATAAGAAGCACTTCTGTGTGTAGTTTGAAATCTCGTTCTCTTAAAATGCAGGTTGAAATTAAGAGAACGATCCCTAAGGGAGCTGCTCCCTTGAAAGATTTCAAGACGAAGAAGATTTTTGTTGGTGGATTACCCTCAGCTCTAAAAGAAGGTATATTTATGTTTCCTTGGCTGCATAGTAGCAAATGTGCTTTTTTGTCCTGCATAATAAATTGAATTTGGTGACATAATTTGAATTGACAGATGAATTCAAGGAATTCTTTTCCAAGTTTGGAAAGGTTGTGGAGCATGAAATCATCCGTGACCATACAACCAACCAGCCACGTGGATTTGGTTTTATAGTCTTTGATGCAGAAAAAGCGGTAGATGATTTATTAGCTAAGAAAGGCAATATGATTGATCTAAATGGTTCTCAGGTGAGGCATCATGTAGCTTTTTCTGAGCATTGTAAATCTTATTTCCTGCGGTCAAGACTGCACACAGTAACAAATTGTGGTATTCTAGTTAAGTCTATAGAGCACATCTTATTGGGTCTTTTTGTTTCAGTTGCCTTAGTTTGCTCTTATATGAGTGGCAGGTTATTCTCACTCCAATCTTGGAAGTAAACAAATTTGAAAGAAATATAGGTTTGACTTTCTTGCTTTGCTGTAGGTTGAGATCAAGAAGGCAGAACCAAAGAAACCCTCTAACCAACCACCTCGTTCACTTGATAGCAAACCTAGGGGCCGTCCATATGCAGACAGTTATGATGGATTTGGCAGCTCTTACAATTATGGTGGTAGTTTTGGTCCTTATAGATCACCTGGAAGTTTTGGCGCTAGGCCTGGAGGTTACAATAGTGCTTATGGTCCTGATGATTATGGTAGCGGCTATGCTACTTATGGTGGAGCATTAGTAGGATACCGTGGAGAGCCCTCCCTTTATTCTAGTCGCTATGGTAGCACTTACGGAGGCAGCTTTGGTGGTGGGTATGGTGGTGGCAGTTATGCCGGTGGATTAGCTGGTGCATATGGGCGTGATGCCGGGGGCTATAGTGGTTCTAGCTATGGTCCTAGTTATGATTCTTCAGGGGCCAATACTGGTGCTGGGTTTGGCACCGGTGGACTCTATGGTGCTAGGACAGGCTATGGTAGCACTGGTGGCAGTGGTGCTGCTGGTCGTTACCATCCATATGGAAGATAGAAAATCACCAGTGCTGCTGTTTGCTACAGAAGCTTCCAGAAGATCAATTCTAGATGTGTGCTCAAGAGATCATCTGCATTTAAAAGATCCACTGAAGTTCAATATGCTCAGTTTTCTGTATTAGGAAGTACAGTTAGATCAACTTGTAGAAATTTGAACCATTGTTTTAGTATTTGGAATTGGAATTTAAGCATATTTAATATGGGTATGCACTTTTATAGATAGAAAACTTAGTGACTTATTAAAGCCAGCTGCTAGTATATGCATGTGTTCTTTGTTAATTTATGCCCTGTTCGCTTGGCTGATAAGCCATGGCTGAAAGTACTGTTGGCTGATTTGTTGTGACAGAAAAATATTGTTCGTTGGCTGAAAAAGTACGGCTTATAAGCCAAGCGAACAGGGCGAATAGTTTGCTTTGTGTTTACGAAAACTATGGAGTGCTCTAACTTAACCTAAGGGGTGAACGTTGCTGCCAGTTTCTTTACATGTAGTTACAGTAGTGTTGCCTTGTTTCTTTATCTTTATTATCTGTATCTGCGAGTCTGCATAGGTTATTTGTTTGGAGTTCGATGGATTAAGTTGTACTTAGAGCTAGATTGGTCTTTTTATACAGTGGTTCACATGCTTTCACGTGAAGCTTTGACGCTGTTATTAAATGATATATTGCCACCGGTGTTCATGTCTTTATGCCGATGCTGATGTTTTTCCCTTTCACCATGCTGGTGATTTGAATATCATCACCTTAGTAATTACATCTTAATTACATTGGGGCAGCAGCATCGTTCTTCATCCGTTCAGGCAGTTGAGGGCTCGTTTGGCCATCTTCCTCAAACTGTAGCATCACTGTGCAGTACTGTAACAGAGGACTTCTTCTCTGCCCTGGGTAAAATGAACTGTGGAAGCAAAGCCGGTGAAGCCATGCTACCGTACGAACGTGCCGAAAACATACATTTTAAATGAACTGTGTACGTGCCAAGAACGTGTCCAACATACATGAAACTCTACGTGTGTGCGTGTATATATATACAAATCTTTGTGTGGCCACTTTACATATTTTTAACTGAGTATATAATATGAGCGATGTACAATTTTAACATGACTCGGATCATAAAAATTTTGACCAATTTTAAGACAATATATCAAAACCAACTAAAATATAAAATAACTTCATCCATATGTAAATAGAATAAAGTAGTTACTAAGGGTATTCGATTCAAAAAAATTGTACATTTTTAGCAAAAGGTAAAAACAAAACTAAAATAGCAGTGTATTCACGTTGAGCCGAAAAGGAAGGGGGTCATTCGCACTGAGAAGGGTGGCGCCGTGCTGGATTCTCTCTTCCGTTACTTGAGGATTTGATCGAGTTTCTTTTTTTCTTCTCATATTAATTAATTAGTTACTCCCTCTGTCCCCAATTCTCGCTTTTCGAGAAATAGTTCTCATCAGCTAATTTTCTTTGTAGCATGCGTTAGATCTTACTGTCTTCATCATAACACAATCTAAGTTAAAACGACCTTGTAATCTGTTTTGTTCTTTATTAGGGTATAAATAATAAAAAAACATGCTACTCATACTAGTAGAAATTTGATTCGATGCTTTTGAAGAGGAATTTGATGTGCTACTTGTCTACTGTTCCAGGCAATTGTTTGGTAAAGTATGGGCAAATATGGTCAGGAAGCAATGATAAAATGTGGAATATGGACAGAAAGGGCATGCAGAAAAATGGACCTGATTTTTTTTTTGAGCAAAAGAAAATTGGGCCTGAAGGAAGGACATGCAGAAAATTGGGCCTGGATGGGCTGGCCTCCACAAATTCTTTCTAACAGAAGAAGCCCGACCACTATAGCATCCGACTTCTCTGAACCCTAGTAGCACTGGCTCTGGTCGCTATCGAGTATCGACTCTGTTTAGCTCCGCACCTCTGCGCTATAGCCGCCGCAACCTTCTCCGCCGCCCGCAGCCGGCTCCTCTCCACCGCCGCGACAGCGGCAGAGAAAACCGAGCTCCCCGTCCCTATCGCCCGTCTTCGCCAGCTCGCCCGCGCTGGCCGCCTCGACGACATCGACGCGACCCTCGCGCCCCTGTTCCCCTCCCACCCCGTCGCCGCGCTCTCGGCCCTCTCCTCGGTGGGCCTACCCGACCGCGCCTCCGCGCTGCTCGGCAACATCACGTCGCCCACTACCGCGCACCTGAACGCGGTTCTCGGCCCACTCCTGCGCCGCCGCCGCCTGGCCGGGCTCGTGCCCTCCATCCTCGCCGCGCATGCCTCCATCCCGCGGGACGCCGTCACGGACAGCATCCTCGCCAAGTCGCTCTGCCTCACCTCCGGCCCCGACTCCGCGCTCCACCTCCTCCGGGAGCCTTCGTCGGGGGCGCCGCCGTCGCTCCAGCTCTTCACGGCCATCATCTACTCCTTCTACAAGCAACGCCTCCCGCACCGCGCCGAGGAGCTGTGGCGGGCCATGGTCCAGGACCATGGCATCGCCCCCGACACCGCTGCCTACAACGCCCGGATCACCTACAAGTCCGCCAACGGCACCGTGGAGGAGGTCAAGGAGCTGATCCGCGTTCATGCGCGAGGAGGCCGGGCTCCGGCCGGATCTCGTGTCCTACAACGCGCTGATGCGGGCGATGGCGAGGCACAACAAAGTGGATGAGACGGTGGAGGTGTACCGCAGCCTGGAGGCCGGGGAGGAGGCGGACGTGGCGCCGGACTGCGCGACGTATACTTGCGTGGTGGGCGCGCTGTGTGGCGCGGGGCGGTGGTCGGAGGCGGAGGACGTGTTCTACGCGGGAGTGAAGCGCCGGAAGGTGACTGACCTCGGAACGGCGCGTGTCCTGGTGCGCGGTCTCAAGGACGCTGGCAAGGGGCGAGCGGCGAGGCGGGTGGTGGTCGGTCTGCGCAAGAAGTTCCCCGAGCAGTTCGACGGGCCGTGGAGGGAGCTTGAGGAGGCGGCCGGGCTGAACTCCTCCGGGAAGGAGGATGATGATGTGGAAGACGGAGCCGACGAGATGCCTGCGGTGACAAGGGCCGCCGCGGCGTGAGCGTTCGTGGCAACTGGCAATTTGGCGAATTTTTCGGTTTTAAAGGGCAGCGTTGGATGATCAATCAAATAAGCAAATTCACAATACTACAAGAGCATTTGAGTATTAGCTACTTGTTCATCTTTTTTTTTGGTGTTGATAATTTTACTCATTTATTAATAGCACTATAGTCTAGTATTAATCTTCTAGATTTCGTTGTTTCTTAATGCCATGCCTTCCAATACTAAGCATCTTAGAGCTTAGAATTCGGATTGTGTAATGCCGACGGTGAGGGCGGCGCAGCTTGAGGCGCCAGCGGGGCCCTGCATCCGAGATCAATCCCTCGCCAAGATCCGTCTTGTGGCCCGAGAGGGCATCGGTTCCTTGAACTCGTGGTCGGCGCCATCGCTTCTTCGCTTCTTGCCAAGATCCGTTCGCCGCCGGCAACTGGACGCGCGCTTCCGCCTTGTGCTGCTACTCCTCTGTGTGGGCGTGGTGTCACCACCATCCGGATCCAATGACTGCTAGCCTGCTACAGCAACCGCCACCAAGTACGCGCCCCGTTCCTTCGGAGATCGAAATATGCGCTCGCCTATGCTTCTCCGTGTCCTGGCTACCGGTGAATGACCTTGTGCTATCTTCTCTGAGGACGAATTGGGGATTGAGCATCAATGCTGGATCTGCTGCTGCGACGTGGAATCTCAAGAATCGGATTATGTTGTGTAGTCGTCTGGATGATGTCGTTTGACAACGTTTTCACTTTTCAGTTCAATTTTTCGGATACAAAATAATTTAACTTGGTAATTAATTTAAGACCTAGTCATGCATATGACAACTGAGAATTGCAGGAATTTGATTCTGTAGCACCACTTGATCCGAGACACGAAGTTTTCTTTTCCTATGAAAGGCTTGTTTTCCTTTATGAAATATGAAAGAAATAAAACATCCAATTTAAGCTCTTAAATTTTTCCTACATGTAAATAGAGATGAGCAATTCCTTTTAATGAGAACAGAGAGAGAACATTTTTATGTTCTTGTGATCTAAAAACACCTATTTTTATAAATTTTTTATGTTTTTTATTTTTTATTCCTCTGTTCTAAATATGCTCTAACCGATGGGATCCATACAATCCACGCTAGTGGATTCAATCAGCCCTAGGTCATTTACTCATTTGGGCTTCAATAATGCTCCCACGCAGGTGGGCGTCCGTTCGGACGCCGCGCACCCTACTCTACCAAGCTGCTGCCTTCCCCCGCCGTGCACCCTATCTCATGTCGCTCGCTCCACGTTTCTGCTCGTCGCCCCCCAGCCATGCCTCTCACTCCCGTCTGCCGCCCCCTACACCCGCGACGCTCGCTCCCGCTCTGCTGTGCACGCCGCTTGCTCCCGCGCCACCGTGCACGCTGTTGGCTCTGCTCTCCCCCTTCTCGCCCTTCCCACCTCTTAGTCTCTCTCTCGTGTCCATTGGCAGCAAAGTGCCTCCCCCGCCTCTTCCCCAACCCCAGCGTCGTCGGGATGCCTCACCGTCGCGGGGCGCTGCCGCTACCCCTGCCGATGGCTGCTGGGCGCACGTGTCGGGCGCCTCAGGTCGTCCCCGGCCGAGCCAAGGGCACCCAGAAGCGCAGTCGGTGCTGGTGGGGCTCGTGCATCGCTGGCTCCCACCCCAACGGCCAGAATCGACAAGTCCCGGGCCTCCCCTCACCTATGGTGCAAATATATGTTTAAAGTGTTTTAGATGTTTAGAGGTATGTTGCAAGTGTTTCATATGGATGTTACAAAAGTTGATCGGGATGTTGCACTTGTTGCATATGTTGCAAGTGTTTCATCTGTTTCAGACGTATGTTGCAAGTGTTTTGATGTGGATGTTGCATATGTTTCACACATATGTTGCAAGAGTATGTTCGAAAATGTTTCATATGTTTCAATATTATGTTGTAGCAAGTGTTTCCATGTTGCAAGTTGCAAATGTTTTTATCTAGATGTTGCATATATTTCACACATATGTTGTAAGTGTATGTTCCAAATGTCTTATCTGTTTTAGACGTATATTGCATTCAAGTGTTTCATGTTGTTTGTAGAGTCACGGGGGCATGATGAGTAATGGGCGCACGGCCTGGGTGCCGGGGGATGGGACACGATGAGTCGAGGGCCTACGGTCAGGGCGAGTGTAGGGTCAAGATGGCGGACTAGAGAGGGGTGAATAGTCATTTCTAAAACTTAATCGCGTCGGCTAACCGATACAAGTGTGGAATTAAAACTATCGGTCAAGCCAAGACTACACCCCACTATCTAAGTTCTCAAGCACCTTATAAAGATCCTAATTAGGCAACAAAGGTGCCGGGCTAGCTAGAGCTCACCTAACCAATTCTAGGAGTAAGGTCACACAAACCTATGCCACTAGTACTTCAAGCACTGGAGAGCTCCTACACATGCTAGTAGCAAAAGCACAAAGCTCCTAAGCTCACTAGCAATGCTCAATAACAAGACAACTAATGCCAAATTAGAGAGCGTAAATTACTTAGGTACACAAACTAAGCAATGTGACTAATAAGGTTACTCAAACCGAATTAGTCACGCAAGGGAGCTACTTCTATGCTACACAAGCAAGAAGGTAACTAGCAAGCTACACAAGCCAACTAATTACAAGATCAACTACACAAGCACAATATATGTGAAAGTAAATACAAGCTTGTGTAACGAGGATGCAAACCAACGGGAAGACAAGGTTGACACGATGATTTTCTCCCGAGGTTCACTTGGTTGCCACCAAGCTACGTCCCCGTTGTGTTGACCACTCACTTGGTGGTTTGGCGGCTAAGACGTGTTGCACGAACCTCGTCCACACGTTGGACACCGCAAGAACCTCACAAGCCAAGTGAGGGTAGCTCAATGACACGCTCGACTAGAGTTCCTCTTCGTGATACCCGTGGGGTGAGCTCAATCCCCCTCACAAATCCTCCTCCGGAGCACCGCACAATCTTCTCGCGTGCTTCAATGGAGTCACAAGCCACCAAGCCATCTAGGAGGTGGCAACCTCCAAGAGTAACAAGCACCACCGGCTTGCAAGTCGATCACCTAGTGCCACTCTATGCAACCTCACGATGCAACGCACTAGAATCACACTCACTGCAGTAATCGGATCACACTCTTGCAAGCACAAGTGAGTTAGAGGGCTCCCAAGCACACCTACACAAGCCACCAAGACTTAAGGGTGCTCAACCAACCAAATACCTGAGCTCCACCTCTATTTATAGCCCCCAAGCCAAATAGAGCCGTTGGAGCAAAGATCCCTTTTCTGCGAGGGCACCGGACACGGCGGTGGTGGCACCGCCCTAGGGGTGGTGGTGCCCCTTCAATGGTCACATAATGGCTAGGTTGACTAGTCATGGGCACCGGGCAGGGGTGGCGGTGGCACCGCCCTAGGGGTGGCGGTGGCCACCAGCCAGTCACTCGAAATACCCCCTCTCTAGGAAATAGTGGTGGTGGCACCGGACACAGGGTGGTGGTGCCTTCTCTGGTGACCAACCCCACTCAGCTGCTCTCGAGAATAAAGGGGCGGTGCCCATGGTGGTGGTACCGGACACACCCTAGCGGTGCACCGCCATCCTAGGGGCGGTGCACACCGCCACTGGAGGTGCTAGCCCCAGCACCAGCTCTTCTTGGCCTCCTCCAGCCGGGGCACCACTCCAAGCCCGATTTCACCTCCTTGCTTCACCTTTCGACTTCTCCTTTGCAAGTGTGCTAACACCACCAAGTGTTCACCAACTTATGCACGTGTGTTAGCTTTTCACAAATATTTTTCCAAAGGATTAGCACTCTTTTCTCAACACCACTCGATCATAACACATATGCAAAGTTAGATCGCTCAAGTGGCACTAAATGACCGATATGCAAACAAGTTTGCTCCTCTTAATAGTACGACCATCTATCCTAAACCCGGTCATACACTTCTCTACACAACCTTTGACCGGTGAAATGAAATGCCCTAGGTTATACCTTTGCCTTGCGCATTCCATTCCATCTACTTCGATGTCGATGCAACACATGCACCAACCAACCACCAAATGATATGATCCACTTTCATATCATCACGTGACCGTATTTGTTCATCGATCTTGACTTCACTTGCTCTTCACCGTTGCCTTGGTCCATCGGCGCCAAGTCATCACTCAACTTGCCCTTCACACTTGCAACCGGTCCGTCAAGCCAAGTCTTGTCTTGATCTTCTCCGCCTTGATCACATGACTCCATGTCATGTCTCATATGCAATGAGCTCCTTCATCACATGTGTGAGCCTTGCAACAAATCCAAGCCATTTTCACCTCCATGGCATATGTTGCTCACACACATGTACCTGTGAACTAATCACCTGTGTATCTCACATAAACACAATTAGTCTACCTAGGTTATCACTCAATTATCAAAACCAAACAAAGACCTTTCAATCTTCCCTTTTTGGTAATTGATGATAACTCTACAAAGATATGAAAATTAAGCTCATTTCAAGCTAGCACTTCACACAAGTGTAAATTGCTAACTTGATTTGGATTTTATACTACTTATCCAACATTTAAGCTCTATGTCAAGATTTGGATAAGCACCATAAAACTCGACTTGGTAGTGATAACTCCCCCTACATGTGTGCTCAAATGGTTTGGTTTAAAGTTTGCACACATGCATAAATATAAAATTTATGGGAGTGTTACTACTACTAAGTGATGCTAAGGTGTATAAAATAACCTTTGAAGCGTGATACCAATCGGAGTTGCACTTTTAACACCATCCTTAGCATCATGAGTAGCTAGACAACAAAAACACTAGAAACCCCGTGAGATCAACATTAGAAGCAAGGTACTAGTAATAGTTGAGAAACATACCAAGTGTCTAGCTACCATCCTATGCATGCTAGTTATCATATCATCATTCAAATTCTATAACTAGCATACACCACACAAGCATGCATATCAAATTTAAAAACTTATGCAATGCAAGCAAGCACATGAATATGCACATATCAAAT